GTGGGTGGCACTTACTGTCTGTTGCTGCCTTCTCAATTCTGTCTTTCTATGCATTTGCCCTTAAGGCTTGGTCTTGTGCACCCAGAATTAGTCCCTTGGTCACTTTCTTTAACTTTCCTGCTCTTAGCCATTGCCAGGTCTCCTCCCCCTCCCCCTATTCCTTCATGTAATCATTTGTCCTCTGACAAGCAAAGATCAATGGGGAAAGCTAGATTTTCTTAACAACCCAATGATTCGCTTAACACATGCAATGATTTGCTTAACAAATATGGCAAAAATGTCATAAAATGGGATGTGACTCACTGAAAAAATGCCTTGTGTAGGAGCGGAAATGTTTGGCTTAGTTGTGGTTGTAAGTAAAGAACTACCTGTATTAAGAAGCTGATAGTCACTAAAGCTCTTCTTTGAATTAAGCAATTTAGTCCTTTAGTCCAGGTAGCCCTTAACCACAATTGAACCCAAAATGTATGTTGCTAAATGGAACATTTGTTTAGTGAGTTTGCCCCACTTTATGATTTTTCTTGCTAGAGTTGTTAAGAGAATGACTGCATTTGTTAAGTTAGTAAAATGTTTGTTAAATGAATCTGGATTACCCATTGACTTTGTAGAAAGTTGCAAAAGGGAGTCACATGCCCCCAGGACATCGCAATAGTTATAAGTATGAGCCAATTGCCAAGAGTCTGAATTTTGATCATGTGACTATGGGGATGCCACAATGGTCGTAAGTGTGAAAAATGGTCATAAGTGCCTTTTTTCAGTGCCGTTGTAACTTTGAACAGTCAATTAATGAATTGTTGTAAGTCAAGGACCACCTATGTTTGCTAAAGGTAGGAATTGCACATTTATTTCTCATTGTGTAGCACTATTTCATAACACATCCTAGCGTAAACAATATAAAATGAATAAGGATGGAATATAGCTCAAAAATACCTACAGAGATGGAAAGAAAATGACTGTTTCTGTGTGTCTGCATGGTTTGACTATGGAAGGAAACAATAACGAAGCAGGGTGTGCAAGAAAATTGCATTAAGTGGTTGCATTTAGCACGCAAAGCTAGTAGGGCTGTATCTTGCACTTCAGAACTTTAACAATATTTTATTTAACAGATTGGCATCAATATGATGATATAATATGCGTTAAACCCGAGGAGAATTGGTGGAAGAAAATGAAGAATCATTTTCCATTTTGGAAAGATAAGGAAAAGGATGTTGTGAATGGGAAACTGATAGCAGCAAGAATAATGCTGGACAGCCTCTTCAGTATACTTAAACCATGGAGTCAGATTAACATCAAAAGCTTTTTCCAGCAGTTCTACCAATTTTACTCTGTAAATAAAACGATAATGATACATGAAGGATGTCGGAAGGAATGGAAAGAGCTACAATTTAAAGAACAGCAGGTATTACATTCTCTTTATTATACATCCAAGAAGAACCTTGTAGCCAAATGTCTATAAGGTTTGTAGCATCTTGACTGTGCAGCGCAAAGTGCTAATTGTTACAATGTCCTTGGAATAAAATGATACAGCCAAGTTATTAAACTGGGCTGAATATTGAGTTCAAGATGCACAAAAAAGACAAAATATGGAGTTAAGTCACTGCAGAAATCTAGATCCATTGGACACTTGAGTCTGATAATTTTTTGATCCAGCACCTCTGTACAATCACTATTTGAGAAACAGCAGTTGTAGAACCTAACATATTTATAGTTTAACTTAAACCCATTTCTTGGCCTTCTAAAGTATAATCTATAATGTGTATTCGTTGGTTTTGGTTCAGAAAAATGTATGCACCTAGATGTTTTGTTTTTTAGCTATAGTTTATGCCTTAATATGATGTATGTTTAAACATGCAATTTTTTTTCTCTCTCTCCTCCCTCCCTCTCTTTTAAAGTTGCAAGTTATTATTGTGGAATACTTGATGGAACAATCAAGTAACATCCTCAAACAGGACACTTCAACGTGGGATCATCTAGGCCTAGCATTGATCACGTTTACATTAATAATAGATTACAATCTTCTACTGTGCAAAAAGGGAAAGGAACAATTATTCATGTTTTTTTGTCCGAAGAAATTACCAGCAGATGTAGATGAAATCAAGTGCTTCAGAGAGACATTTTCAGAGTGTCCGGGGTATGTAATTTGACTTTGGGGCATATAGAATGTAGGGTTGAGTCAGGATACTGAAGGTTAAGGTAGAAAAATGGTGGGTTCGGTTGGGAGGAAGGGAATTGGGTGTATTAAACACGTTGGATGCTTGCTTTGCTGTTTTTGGTACTAATAGTTTTGAATGTGACAGATTTCTGAAAAGATCAGCATATATTTAGTGATTTGACATGAATTGCTACTAATAGTTACTTGTCTATAAATTTATCAGTTTTCCCTATGAAGTAGGTGCTTGGAGAGATGGACTAGCCCAAAATCACCTAGAGAGCTTCCGTGGCTGAGGATCTGCTTGAACCTTGGTCTTCTTGGTGCTAATTGAGCATCTAAATCTCTGCACCATGCTAGCTGTCATGTGACAGATATAAATATTTGTTTCTGCTAATGTGACAGATATAAATATTTATATCTGCTAAAAGCCACACTTCAAAAAGGGGAAGAGCCAGGCCAAAATGAAATATTAATTGAATTGGTAACTGCAAATTACATTTTTTTATAAAGCAAATTATGTGTGTAAAATTACCTTATTTTCATGCTCTCTCTTACAGATGAAAATACATGGAGGGAGGGAGAGAGGGGGGGATTCTGTTCCCTTCTCTCTCAGAATGTTTGTCCACAAGCACAAACACCATAGAAGGCAATAATTTTCTGGCTGGGGAATTCTGGGAGTTGAGGTCCGCCAGGCTTTAAGTTGCCAAGGTTGGAGACCCCTGCACTAGA